GTAGATGCTTTCGGTGATGAACTATTTCTTTTTTAGTGTCTGAAAACTTCCTCATTTCACCTTTAGTGGGCCCTGTCTGAGTACTGGCCACTGCCCCTCTCGTCCCTTGAGGTGATTCTTTCCCTGGACTAGAATCATTTCTTCATACCTATGTCCTATCCATATTCTGCTGAACACTCTGCACCTCTCCTCTGTGAAGCTTTCTCTTCCCCAGCATTCTGCTCAGCAAATTATAGCAGTCTTAGCTAGCATTAGAGATTTTCTGTGGATCCTGGGTCCTGCCCCACCCTCACCACTCAATTTCTTGAAACCTCTTTCGAGAAAGTAAATCGTTCACCTAGTTTCTTCTTGTCTCTTAGGGACGCTGTCCTTCATTATTTTACATCTGGTGTCTTTTTTTTTCGTCATACATTTTATCTTTTTTTTTTCTTTTACATATTTCAGGTGAAGGTTAAATCTGGTCCCCATTATTTCATCTTGGTTGGAAGTGGAAGTCTCTCCATTGGCTGTAGTTTTAATGTCAGCTTTTTTATATTCCATGTTTTAATTTTTTAAAATTTTGTCTTTGTTTCACAACTGACTTGGACGCTTTCACTTCCTATAGTCCTTTGGTCTAGTAAATTTTTCATTTGCTCTAATGAGCTGGAGTATGGAGATAATTGTACCTTCTCTTCCAAGAGCAGACTGTTGATTTTCTTTAATGCTCACTGAAGCAATTCTCTGTTTTCCTACCTTTTTTGTGAGTTACAAAATCTTTGTCCTTGTCCTTTGGAGCTTCCACAAGTAATTACAAAGCAAAATGAGAGGTTTTTTTTTTTTTTTTTCTCCAACTAACCTGTGTCTACTGCTTTGAACTCTGTTCACTAAAGCTCTTACTTGTGTTTATAAGTATTTTTTTTTTCGCTAATTGATAGGAGCCTGCTAACTCCCTCAACTTCATAGTTCTTCTAAACTTTTCCCAACTCCCAGTAAATTGAGAAAAGATTACTATGAAAGAATGTATGAAAATTCATCACTCGTCCCTCTCACCTTATCTGTTATCAGCCTTTCTTGTTTCTGAGTGTATTGAGCTTTTCAGTGGATTTGCCATTAAAATTCCTAGAGGCAGGCTACTGGAACAAATGATATCTTGATGTCCCTTATAGTTCTAAAAATCTAAATTTTAATAACCGTCATCATCCTAGTACTATCCTTTGCTAACAAACAGGTAGTGGGTAAACTGTGCGTGTGACAGGACTATAAAGAGTTCCAGTAGGGCTGTTTCTCTGTTCTGCAAAGATAGCATCACGGTTATGACATTGTGACATGTGACTATGTAGCTCCTGTAGAATCAGAGCATATTAAAGACTCTTTTCCAGGCATCAAAATCAGATCTTGAGTAGAAAAGTAATTTTAGAAATGATATACATATTACTAATTTATAAAACTATAGTTTCTTCAGTTTAAAACATTTCTTGATACATAAAAATACAACTATAATTTATTCACTATAATGTTGTGATATTTGTATCATAAGTAGGCTTGACAGCATTTAATAGTGTTTTGAGTAAATTATA